GTCTCCCTTCCTTAAAGCCTTTGCCTATACTAAAATCTTTAATTGGACTACCATTAATTAATAATAATTTAGAAGCAAATTTTAAGTATTATTATATTTCATAATCTACGACCTATATCTTATTTCAAATTTCATATATCACATGTTATCATAAAAAAAACTCCCAATTATATAAACATAACCCCATGTAATCAACTATACTACTTCTTTTATGAAACTTCCTCCTCATTTCGGAATCCTTTCTTACTAGATCAAAAGCTACCCTAAAGTGTGGAGTATGAAATTGAAATTTGTTGGTTCTAATTAATTGATGCCCAAACTCCAAACCTAGAAGAATGGGCTTAGACTTTAGATATGAAACCGAACCATTGGTTTCAACAAATGCATCAAATCATGCAATTTTTCATAAAAAGAATCACACGGTTTTCAACCATGCACACCCTTAATTTCACGTACTTTTGTTTGTGTACGTAGAAAGTTCACGTGGCACTGAAATTTTGGGATATTACTTCCTCTAACAAGAGTTATACTCCCTCTATTATTTTTTACAAGTAGATTTAGTTTTTTAAGTAAAATAAAAATATTATAATTTATAAATAAAATTTTATATTTATTTTCAATTAATTATTATTTAAATAAAATTTTTTATTTTATTTAATATATATTATAATTATTTTTTAAAATAAAAATAAACATATTAAATAATATTTTAAAAAAATAGAGATTTATTAAAATTATTACAAGGGAGTAGAAATTTTTTTTATCTTGAAATTAAAATTTTAATGAGAATTTTTATTTTTATTTATTTTATTTTTTCTGATAAAATAAATAATTAAAAATAAGAAATAATTATAAAATTAAATAAAAATATTTTTTATTTAAAAAATAATAAATTTTAAATAAAAAATTATTTATTATTAAGACAAAGAGAAATAGATCAAATAACATGTACCTGCAGGTTGGGACCCACTAAGTGGACCATGGTGCAGTGGCCCACCGTCAAAACTGATC